ACAATTGTGTTTGTTTATGTTTAAATTTGAATTTACAGTTAAACGTTTATATAACTTTAGGAATTTCCAACGCATTTCTTTGGTCAATTCACTGTTTTGTCGGGAAATTTGTCTCCATTTCTTTCTTTTCCCCTTTTTTCCACCCGTGTTTTTTAATTTTTTTTTCTATTTGAGATCGCATCACCATCTATGTCATTAGCGACCACTATTGCGTTTCACGGTATGGTAACTGTTAACTTTCTCATAGGAACGCAAGACGTGCCCGGAGCAAGCCGTGCCCGTAAAACCGCACTTACAGTCGTCCGCGAGCTCTTAAGACTGATGGGGCTGGTGAATACCATAAAGACAGCCTACCCATTCGCCATTCGCCGAGGTGCGATCTAGTGCTCACCTAATCCCGAGCGACTGATGTTAGACGAATGTTCGCTTCCTTTAAAGTGTCAAAAAATAGACACTCGGTGGGTTGGGCAAGCACCAAATGTTCGTCGCTCTTCAAATAACCTTAATGTGAAACCTCTTGTCAGTTTCCCAGCAGATCATTATTATGAAAAGGGTCACTAGAATTATGTGCATAAATACTAAAACAAGTGAGAAAATTTAATTTAATTTTTCTTTATTCATAATACTTATATTTCATTTATTCATAATTATTTTATTCATTTTCTTCGAAATTAATAATTTTACTGTCGTGTTTGAAATATTGACAGGAGCTACCAAAGACCTTCACCTTCAAGGATGAAGTGAATCAAATAGTCAAATAAACCCGTTACACTCTTTCTCAAAGGGTATTGGTAAACTATTGGCAACTAGAATGAAAAAAATATTTGACGTGTATAGATGTAATGTGGGTATTTGATGAAAAAATAATATTATAGACGTTGTATCCTTCGATAGCTCAGTTGGTAGAGCGGTGGACTGTAGTGGTTTATATTGCAGACATCCATAGGTCGCTGGTTCAAATCCGGCTCGAAGGAAATTTTGTGCTTAATGCAATCGTGCTGATAGCTTCAGCAGATTGTTAGTTCTCGTTGCAGAGGAACTGCAATAAAGAGGGCTGTTAAAAGCTATTATATAATAAAATAAACGCAATAGAATGAAATATATTATTCTGTGTTTTCTAGAAAAGTTGTCCTGTGTTATTGTAGAAGGTATCAGGAAGTAACTGTCCTATAGCAAAAAAAATCAGTCATATGCCCAAAGTAATTAAATTCCACCATTATCTTAAACGTTAGTAGCTTCTTAATTAATACTATAAATCAACAACAATCTTTAATGACAAATATCACTTTACTTTGACGGTTTTCTATTATATCACCTGTTGAACATTTTAGAAGTGTAAGTTCGCACCCTTCATCTGCATTAAATATTATTCAAATAGGAAATAAACCGCACAGATAACAATTGAAACCTTAGTCGTTTTTAAACTAAGGAGTTGGTATACACTTACAAGTTGGTATACACAAGTATTGTAATACTACGGCGGAAATCGGTGATTTTTCGGCAGAAAATGACATATTGTCGGATTCTGGTAATGAAGATGAATCTTGTGTCTACATGTAGTAAATTACTTCCTCCAATAGATAGAGTAGTTAGAATACATATTTTATGGGTTCTTGATACCGAAAAAACTGATTGATTGCAAAACGCCTGTCTGCCTGTTCGTACGTATGTTGTCAATACTAGTGCCTCCACCGTACAGACGATTTTCTTTAAAATTGAAAATCCCCGATTGATCTGAACGAACTGGAGGCCTTGCGAGTTGAAAACGGCATTTCAACGCTGATTACATTTATATACTCCAGGGTTGTCAGCCCTCGGGTATGGGATGAAATCATGATGATGACTAATGAAATAGACATACAAACATACAGTGACACACACACACTCACACGCACGCACGCACACACGTACGCACCGCAACATGATTCGAACCTGCTATTTTCTGGTTTGAGGCCGCTATGGAACTATTGCCTCAGCGATCTCGGCCGTCAGATTGGCTTTGGGTTGCGTATATTATTGATAAGGTATTGCGTAAAAGAAAACGCAGAGTCGGAATTGAAGTGCTTTTGATTTTTACAGGAATTTGCTTGTTCCTTGGGGGGCCTTTTCTATCCTAGTAATTAGGAAATTGCTACCAATATTGAATACCTGCCCTTGACATGATGCAAGCGTTTTTTTCGCATAATAGGACTATTATAATATCGATAAAATATACTATATATATTCCGACACTTACTACTACATGTATACGGAATTACAATGGACCCTACATATGTTGTAAGCATTTTTCCTATTACAATATAATTACAATACTGACAAAATCCGACTATATATTTAGCGACAAATGTTACTAAATGTTTATATTACAAAAGATCTAAAAAGTTAACATATATAATGGGTGAAAACCAGATCGGTATAAGTGACATTTTATAAATTGTAAGAAATCTGTTTAAGTTAATAACACTGTAAAGTCGTGCTGCATTGTTTCATTATTAAAACCACGGTATTTCAATTGTTCATTAAAACCACGAAAGTACATAGCCACTGAAATTTAGCATAAACTAAAAATGTATTTTTCAGAATTTATAAAATGTCACTTATACCGTTCTGGTTTTCATCCATTCACATTATAATTTGAAAGCATTTAATTTTATATTATAATTATAAAATATGAAGATTTCCTTTTATCAATTTGCTTCTAACCAAATGAAAATGGGAGAAATGTAAAATCGATACTGAAGAGGGACCAAAATGCAACACACTGAAGTACCGCGTTGCATTTGGGTCCCAGTAGAGTAACCTAAAAGCTGATTTTCGAGCTTGAGCTGGGGGGTGGCAGTTGTCGTTAGTTTGAGTTCACCGTTCCATTCAGGGGCAGCGCCCGCTCACGGCCTTCACCTCCCAATTGTGCCCGCCCATCAGATGAACGTACGAAATTTCATATTTTAGTTCATTACTTGTGTTCTAATTGTGAAATGCGCTTCAAATTTTGACAGTACGCGTTTCCGATTACGCATTATCTGTTGGTAACTCTCATAAAAATTAGTGTCCGTCGACGTGAGGGTTGTAAGCTAGAGGTTTTGGTGCCTCTCTTCATTACTTAACAACGAGAACTTAAGTTAGTCTGCACAAGTTTTGAGCACAAGCAAGCACAAAATTTCCTTCGAGCCGGATTTGAACCAGCGACCTATGGATGTCTGCATTACTGACCACTACAGTCCACCGCTCTACCAACTGAGCTATCGAAGGACATGCATTACTTTGTCTTTATACAACTACTATGTTTACTTATATAATCCAATTTTTTATTATGATTTTAATAAACTGAAAAATAAACGTGAAACAAGCTTTCTAAGTATTCTGCATATTTTTATTTACATTTCCTCACGACATTTCCTGAACAATTTTATTCATTACATTCTCTAGTTTTCGCATGCTTCAAGCACGATTAGGACCTGCACAAAATTTCCTTCGAGCCGGATTTGAACCAGCGACCTATGGATGTCTGCATCACTGACCACTACAGTCCACCGCTCTACCAACTGAGCTATCGAAGGAGATGCAGAAAACGGTAATTTTTTCATACAAATTAATTTTACATATTTTACGTTAATTTAAACGCAATTGTTAATAAAATTAATTTTAATATTTCAAACCTAGTTTAAATTTTCAGTATTTCACACCATGCATATTTACATATATTTTACCTTGAAACACTTTATTATTTTCTTTACTTTTCTTTACTTTCAATCTCGAAAACCTGATCATCATTTCCTCCAGGTACATTTGATCAACGGAATATAAACACATTCTAAATAAGTAAAGGCACAAAAACGGCAGATTTTAATTAAAGTAGGGTACACGGTACACCCTCAGAGAAGCGCGGCGGCGTGTGGGAGGGGTCTCCTTAAGCCCTCCCTCAAATTACGCTACGCATTCTGATAGAAAAGAACAAAACTTACGGATAGGCGATTTTCATGGCTCACCCTTCATATGCTTTTCCCCCACCGCATTGTAATGCCAATTTACTTTCAACATCAAGTTATCTCGCTACGCTCGCCCGGAATCAAGTCATGGCGAGGCTCGGGCCTTTGTTCCTTGCGTTCACTATAAACTTCCTTGAGTCTATCCACCGCATAATTATCAATTTACTTTTATAAGAAAGCACTTTTCAAGAAAGCTTCCAGAATTCAAACTGCGCAGTTAAAGCCGAAGCGGCGATTTAAACGACTTCCGCAAGTTGTACCGTATACTAGACTTCAGCTCAAATTTTTGTTAATATTTGCAAACCCTTGGGAAAATGTTGAGAGACGATTTCAACCAACGCGATAATTTACTTTTCGTTTCTGTACATTCGGTATTTTTTTATTCTGTGTTTAAGTTTTAGAAATTGAAAGAAACAATTTAGTTCCAAGGACTTCATGTAATGTACATTAAAAATTCAAAGAATTTGCCTCACTCTAAGGGCCTCCAACCAGTTCAGAAAGATTAAATAATATTCGTATTGTCCAAAATTCTACAAGTGGTTTAGGCGATAGCATTGTTCACACACGACCGATGGACGGACGGACGTATTAAAAACCACTTTTTCAGTATCAGGGTACCCCAAAGCGTGTATTTCCATAGAAATCTCGGAATGTATTTTCTATAGCATTTCGTAAGGTTCTAGTACTATACATGGTTATAAACATTTTGAGGAAAACATGTTTTTACAACACTTGAATCAATTGCATGGGACCACCAAATTAGGCGTAGCTTAGATTGATATTAGAAAGCAGAACACGTGACCTTCTTTCGTTTGGAGTACTTGATCCAGCATCAAAGAAGCCCTCGACAATGGCGCGCATCATGCAAGTGGTTCGACGCGTGAAACTCCGTGAAAAGAAGTCTCGCGTGGCCGCAGGGTGAAGGCTGGGGGGGAGGGAGGGTGGCGCGTGCG